TAAATGATCACCCATTAGTGAACATTAATTTTTATTTTTGAGACGCCCAGGCTGGAGTGCAGTGGCGTGATCTTAGCTCACTGCAACCTCCACCTCCCCAAGTTCAAGAGATTCTCCTGCCTCAGTCTCCCGAGTAGCTGAGATCATGGGCGTGTGCCACCACACCTGGCTAATTTTTGTATTTTCAGTAGAGACGTTTCACCATGTTGGCCAGACTTGAGCTCCTGACCTCAAATGAGCCATTCTCCTTGGCCTCCGAAAGTGCTGGGATTACAGGCATGAGCCGCCGCGCCCGGCTGAACATTTATTTTTTGATTGTAGAACCTGAATCTCTTGCAGTGACACTTTGGTTATCACTTGATCAGAAAAATACTCGTCCCAGCTCAAACATTACCTTAGAATAAAAAGTGAGAATTATTTCATGACAGGCAAATGATGGGTACAAACTAAAATGACTTCCAAGATTCTGATTAATGAGAAATGCTCCCAAAGTAAGGTAAATGTTTGCCCTTTCTCACATGGCAAACTGTGAATTGGAGGCATGGATGCTTGATTTGATGTTGAGCTGTACATTATAAATTAACAGCTAGAACTTTTTCCAAATGCTGTCTTTAAAAATGCAGAACCTTGAGGTCCACTCTCAAATTTTAAAAAGTGAACCTTTTCAAAAATTACTTTTAATGTATTTGCAAAATAGTAACTTGAAACTTCCAAACAGTAATGATAACAAAGTCAGCCTCTTTCCTGCTAATAATTTTCTATCTCAAACTATCTTATTAGCATAGCCCCTGTATTTGTTAAGAGACGGTAACTGATTACGGTACACAGCACTTCCACCTTACCTCTATGGTAATGAGGATGACAATCATCCACTCCAAGCGGAGTGCCCTCTTCTCATTCAGGTGATTCCGCATTAGATCTGTTAATTCCATGCAGTGTTGAAGTTTTTCATTCATGACCTGTGTAAGAAAAATTTTAGTAACGTATTTATATTTAAACAATACAGTCATATGCATAAAAATTTTATAGCTATACAGTGAAAAATCCTGGTCCTCAGTTCTCTCCCCAAAGACAGCCAGCAACATTATCAGTTTCTTGTGAATCCACCCAGAGACATTTTGTAATGTACAGATTTAACTGCAAGAAATACTTGGCATACTGAAGCTCTATTTGTAAGATTTTGATGGAAGAACTAAAAATAGGTTTTTGAGTCCTAGTTTTTAGTAGCTGCCCTTTTTAGCAGTTAAAAAAGGCAAACTTGAAATGTTTTTTTAGCAAGACCTAAAGATAATTTACTTTCTACTAGAAACCTACGCTTAACATTTGACCTGCTGCACACACACCACTAGATGGCATTGCTTTCAACTGAACAGCAACAGTTCTGCATTCCGATGCCTCCAAACAAGCTGGCTGTGGGGGTTCAAAGAAAATAAAGTCCCTGAATTCAAAATTTGGATGTGACAACTGTTAAATGCCTACCTAGTATCTTAGTCACTTGCTTCTGGAAACTGGAAATCCTGGAAGCAAAATTTTAGAACAGTTTGTCTCATGGGGTATGCTGAAGTTACAGGTTTGGTCAGCGAACGTTAAGAGATAAATCACATGTACATGTTCAGGAGTTGATTGGAATGTGTTACTGCACCATGTTACGATTTTTGCACATAGCATTAAACTGCCTTACTAGGCTGGGCGGCATATGCCTGTAATCCTGGCATTTGGGAGGTTGAGGCAGGGAAGCACTTGAGCTCAGGAGTTGGAGACCAGCCTGGGCAACACAGTGAAACCTTGTCTCTACAAAAAAATTAGCCAGGCGGTGGTGTGTGCCTGTAGCCCCAGCTACCTGGCGGGGATGAGGTGGGAGGATTGCTTGAGCTCAGGTGGTCAAGGCTGCAGTGAGACAAGATCATGCCACTGCACTCCAGCCTGGGTGACAAACTGAGATCCTGTCTCCAAAAAAATAAAAAATAATAATAAAAAAAAGAAACTATCTTACTCATGGAATCACAGGACTAACTCGCTGAACCACACT